GACTAGCTTCGGCAAAAGACAGCTGGAGTCTGGAACAGACTCCTTCAATATGTTTGCACCAGGTCAACCTTGGCCGTCCCCTGGGCCTTCTGTCGGTCGGCAGGGTAAGAAATAGTTGCTTAGCGTTCGTTTCTTGAGGCATTCGCAAGACGCGTCGAAACCATCGTGGTTGTGCTTTTTCAATCTGAAGGAGAGACTCGTCCCAGAGAGTCCATTTCAGCCAGTTGCATCAGGGATGAAAGTTTTTCGGTCCTCGACCATGGCTTCTGACCGATCGTAGGTTCATTTGTGTGCAAACCAGTGCTAAAATATATAGATGTATAATAATTAATGAACAAGGTTAGAACTACGACATTACAATGCGCAGGGTTCAATCAATGACTGCTTCAGTTGGAATAGAAGGAGTGAGAAAATCGAATGGCTAAGAACAACTTGAGTGGGAATAATATATCGAATCAAAAGAATCGTCACAAGAAACAAAACAAAGCAGATCAATTAAGTTCTCTATGGTTCAACCTTCCACTCTATCCTTGACAATATGGAAACAACTAAGCATAGCATCTTATGATAGGATCGTGATGATGAAGACGATGATCGTCACTACAATAATTATGATGATAATCACGATGGCTGGCCATAAATTCTGAAACAGTCGGCAGATGAAGGCTTTGTTGAGAGCCTATGAGGTTCCCGTCGTCATTCATCACAATTCACTCAATTCCTCACAATTCTTCTGTTTGCATCTCTTAGACTTCTTATATTCAAAACTCATCCAAACGTACTGCACTATTCCATGAAGCCTATGATAGAGCGCTGATTTCGATCCTACCAGCCAAACATGCCTTATTATTAAGACAAATCATTCATTTATTTAGCAACCGTTGCGAATATTTGTTTTTGCTTCATTAACTCGAAGGTTTTCTTCTGTCGTATGGAATTAAGTGACAAGAAACTGTTTCTTATCAAGCCAAGCGATCGTCAATGCAACGTTCTACCGCAAGGTGATGACATTATTAAGGGGGCCTTGACGACTTTGTTACTCCTTTTCTCGAGGTGTCGTCCCGCTAATTTTAATTGGAAAAACGGAAGACGACTGACTTGGTCCTGATTCTAACTCTATGTCTTTCGACTGTGAACCTGAAGCTTTGTTTACTTGGAAGTCAGTGTAGATTGGCTGAGGGATGGGGGGATACCTGAGTGGCTGCAGTGGAACGAGTGAAGGACCGCGGTTTATATCTAACTACAGAAAAAGCATGATGAAGCATAATATCGCTTATCCTCAAGTCAAAAGATAACTCTAACTAATTGGACTTAAATTTTACGAGTATCTCGTTTCAAAATATAACGGTGATTATCTTTTTAGACGGTGTTGCTACGAGTCGGCAGATAATTGGACCAAACGATGCTTTTTTAAGCAGAACCCTTCACTCTGACCCGCTTCAAGATGAAGCTTATTTTTCGCCATGGTCCGAAAATATGGTACGTAAGCATATGACGTTCCCTCCAATGAACTTGCACTATTGAGAGTTAGGCGGAAGTGGTGCTTTACTTTCGTCTCGTTATTGACTCGTACATTAGCGACACTTACTTTACATTATTTACTTCTGAATAAACAAAAACAATATATCGCGGCCATTTAGCTTACCGCTGACCAGCAGCGTTGAGCCTTGCCAGTTGTTCCCTTCCATTAACTAAATGAACCTTTTCGGCATCGCCATAGTTCACCTCCTCGGAAAAGGCATTGTGAGCCTGTCACGTGAAAGTACAACGGGAAACTTGCCCGGAAACGGCAGATTTGTTTTAATGGAGGCTTAGGACCTTAGATGGGGTTGATAATAAGTTACTGGTATGTGATAAGATGCTAAAATTTTAAATGATTTTTATTCGTTGATGCGCTCTCAACTTTTAAAATGTTTTTCCGTTGTACGACATAACCTTTTGCATACTGTTTGATCCAAAGTCAAATCTTCTATCACTCCTCGTGTTTTTATTCTGTTCTTTGCAGCATTTTTGCAGTTGCCTCTTCTATTGCTTTATCATAGACTCGGTGTTCGAACCTATCTTTTACGTACTCATCGGATCTTTGCTTCGCTTGCCTTAATCAATGGATCGGCAATATGTCCTCCACGAACATATTTCTGATGTGGTCTTGCTTGCCGAACCACACAATTATCATTTGCATTCCAAATTCGTTCAGCTGTTATTCATATTTCCTCAATATGACTCACCATTGGGCTCTGGCAACCAGGTTGTCCGTAATTCTACTACCCAACCCTACGGATCCTTCAATTTAAATTGACGGATGGATGGTTTCTTAGAACATTTCACAACCTGAGCCAAACTTGAAACGGGTTTATAAGTTGTGTTGTCCGTGAAGCCTGAAATAACGACGAATATTAGCGTTTGAGGCAGCGGACGACTCTTTAGTGTTGCCTCTCTCTTCCCTGTTGAAACAGCCTGCCATATAATCACCCTTGTTGTTCTCAGATGAAATCATTTCTTCTCAGAAACTGTCTTTATCTTCAGCCACTGAGTGCTGCATCATCTGCGTAGTCCAGGTGATTACTTAGGATGCCTTTCCATTGAAAACAGAAATGAACTCAATTCTAAAGTCTCATCGAAATAGCCCTCGTATTCAAATTTTAGATATCTCTGAAATAAGCGAAAATAAATGACCGAAATTCGTATATGATTTCTTTATGCGGGAGGTGATATAAACTTTAGGTAACTCAGAAACGGGAGGACAACGCATAAAATAGTCTTTAATTAGGGACATCTGACGTTTCGGCCAAGCTCGGTCCGTCTTCTTGTACTCTCTGAGGACGAAACATCAGATTTCCCTAAATGAAAACCTATTTTATGCGTTGTCCTCCCGTTTGTGACTTACCTACAGATTAAAATAAATGACTATTGAAAATGACTGCCATCTATCACATTCCGGTCTTATATTTTGTGCTGCAGAGTTGCAACGGCCTGTGAAAATTTAAGCCATCTAGGCCAAACCAACAGGAAAGACTTCGATGGCAAGAGTCGGTGATGTGAAAAGTAAACATTCCGACTCTAACTTCACCTTGGAATGACAGCCGTCGAAAGCATGACCATCGCCTCGCCCAGTGTTGACTCGCAAAATCCGTAGGTAAACTCATATTCGCCTGTTCCTCCTCCAGGTTATGGCATGAGGTGGTGTCAAGCACGTTGGTAAATACCACTTTTTCAAGTATCTTATTGAGCGGTACCTGTCTGCGAATTGGCAAGTCAGCCGGCGAACACCACTTTCCAATTTCATCGTTCGTCACGTTTCGCCGGAGTCGCTCGTTCACAGCGTTGTACCATGCCCTCATTTACGCTGCAAGGCTTTGCAGACGAATAAACAACCGGTACTTACTTTGTTTCTCCAAATGAACATGCCCGCTTCTCTGATTAACCTGAAGATCACAAATGTTTGGTGTTGAAATCTTGCTCGTCCATTCGAAGGCCTTAGAGGTGCAGATGAGTTTCATATTTCGATCTGTCCACGATCGATTTAGAGCAATGTGAAAATAAGCTGCAGTACAAAAAGCAGAAATATACGGCTTACTTAACGAACGCACTGAACGACTGCCTACCTGTGAACGAATGGCTGCAATCAGATTACTCACTGACTTCCTCTTGATTTAACGTTGTTTAAAAAGAGCTTTCAAGTGAGGACGTAAGATCTACTAGAAGCCTGCTCAGCACAGAAAGCATAGCACTTGAAGTTACTTTGTCTGAATGTTGTCACACAGAGACAACATTATTCGGCATAATAAAAAACAAAGCTAAGATGAAAAGAAAACAAAACAAAATAGCATGGCATCACAGCACTAGGAAACAAACTACAGTATATTGAGCATTGTTGAGCAATGCCGCCTCATTACGTTCCCTCCTCCGGCCTCTGATGAGTCCTGCTGCACTTAAGACGAATCACTTCCTACTGAGCTCAGTTCGAGAGCAATTAACAAATCTAGATCTGATGGATTCGCTGCGCGACAGACACTGATATAGGCATTTGTGAAGAACATGGATTAGGGATTATTCAGGATTTGATTTCCCATTGGTACAGCATGCTCGACTGCTGACTCAGCAATTGGCTAAATCGTTGTATGGAATACCACTGAGTTTGAGTCAAGTCTCAATGTACTTTTCAATCGCTGTAAGGTCGTAGGTCAACAACACCGGATAAATCAAAGCAGCTCCATAAGTGTAAGCAGGGAAATACAGGTAAAGGCAAAAGCTTAAATTGCTTCACTTGGAGCATACAATATTCTCACTTTTCATTTGCATAAAAAGATGCCTGGTGGAATCGATTCGACACAGTTTGAATATGACGGTAATACGTGAGGGCAGATGAAAGAGTGACTCGTAAGTATTTCATATGCAGGACTTGAAGCACTGGCTAGCTGCAAATAATCATAACCATGGTTGACTTATCGAACGCACAAGCCTTCTGGCAGGGCCATTGCGCAGTTCTATTCTCTCGTTTTATTTGGATTGAGGAAAAGCCAATTATTAGAGAAGTAATGGAATATGCCCGGCATATATCATCAGCATATTTAACGCGTTTTAGTAGACCACTAATGTGGCAGTCATTATTAAAATGGATGGACAACAAGGGCGAAAGGACCGTACCTACAATGACTAAGGTGTTCTCCATAAGACTGACATCTTAAACGCTTTAAATTGGACAAACTTATAACAGTGGCAGAAGTAGCTGGCGAGTCATCGTATGATGGACAGATCGATGATAGGTTCGCAAGTTTACTTAAGAGTTTCTTGTAAACGACGGTGATAAGCAGTTTATAAGTCGAAAGATGCAGTACTCGACTTTGCCTGTTCACAATTGCTTACTGAAGTACCGCATGCAGAAGTACTAAAACCATTAAAAATTCATTGAAGTAAAAGCTTTAATCGATATTTACATTCAGATACCTCCAATTGAGCACAGTCAGTTGTAAATTATGACAGACTATTGTGCATCTGTCCATGCCGAACTTGAAGCAGGTTATCTTTGCTTCAACATACCTCATGATATCCGGGTTAACGTTGTATAAAGTTATGGTTGATTTTGCAATGTTATTAAACGAGCACAGAAAACTTTCCAAAAAATGGAATGATTCAACACCTGAAACTAAGTCGGTATGTCTTGTTCGAATCACCATTATGAGCCGTTTGCATATGCAGAGCGTCCTTAGTTTGTGACATCGGTTGCCTCTTCAGTTTTCGGCACTTTTGCCATAAGACGCGGTTACTGGATCATAGAAAGAAATATTTTTCTCTGAAAGCAGATCTGTTTCTACCTTGTCCCTCCATGCTGCACCCGGGCATCCTTATCAACATATACCCAGTTGTGACACACCGTTATGACACCTCGTTATGAGAAACTAATAAGTTGCAGCGAATGATTCATTCTCAGCCTGTTTATTTAATGGGACAGGGCTAGTTATGGATGCTTTTTGGATGAAAGTTCATGTAAAATTTTACAAAATAATGTTACACTCATTTCTCATCGATATGGTCATTATTCTGACGTGGAACGACATATGACGCAATTCTGAAAGGAAAGTAGATGACATTTGGGCAAAACTTTTGTGAACCCGGTTAATCGTGTAGTTTTTAGGGAAATTCCCAGACGCCGTCGAGGCGTCAGAAGCCACTGCTTTTCCGGCAAGGACTTACAGTGCCACCGTCTTTTCTACATCCGGCATGCAATCCGCAGGCCCCGTTTTGCGCAGGCGTTAACTACGCTTCAAACGTCGTTGGCAATAATGAACTGGTAAGTATTCTACTATTCTTAGTAAATGCAGTTTGAACTTCAAGAACGTGGCATGCATCATTTATGCAAAATGAAAAACAGGCATTTGCAATTCGTATCTAATATGCTATGGCTGTAGTTCATAATAATCAAATCATCCTTTGATCCATGTTATTGAAAATGGGCAGTGGCTGATACATGAAATGAAGTTCTTTCGATATTCACAACAGCAGTTGTTTAACGAGAATATGACAAAAAATTGCAGGTCAGACTGTAAGTTGGACTCACTGAGGAAACCTCATGCAAAAGAAAGCATTGGTTTCAATGGGTTCAAATTAAAGTTTATGAATAATTTATTAAAATGTACTAATATTCGTTTATTTATTTAAATAAATGGAAAATGGACTCTAACTATGCCATGGTTAAGACAACTAATAATCACCATACAACATCGTCATGCAAACTTGTATATAGAGAACAACATTCTTACTGTGACAAGTATATACACGTGTATGCATGGTATCTACATGTTTTACTCGTGTGGCTGTCTAACGACTTAAATCGATTCAGACTAACGAGCCTTTGGAAGTAGTGCCAACGCGCATTACTGCCGTTGATCTCAACAATCCCACGTTTCCAGTCACATACTCCTTGTATAACGGTATTAATGCATTTATCAATGGAGCCAGACTGTCTAACAACGTCGTTCAGGCACCCCATCGAATTTTAACCAGTTCTTTGCGATTGGCACCCATACCGGGGACGTACTGCAAATCCAACGCATTCCAACTGGCCTGACTCAGATATTCAGATTAATTGTGATGGTAAGTGTCTAATTATTATATATTATTATGCACCCAACATTTTCCGTCAGGCCAGGAAGACCGACGGATCGAACTATATTAGTTTTGCCGCACTCACGATCAATGTTATTAACCCACCGGAAAGCTTGTTTGATCCGCAACTCCACGTCAACAGCCGGCAAGGATTCATAGAAAGCGACTTGCCTGTTGGAGCCGCACTGCGCACTGGTCAAGCTTCACACACAGCGCCTGTGAAAGTCATTGTCACCGACCAAGATCTGGTAGCTTGACAGCTTAGTTCGAGCGATTTGCTTCATCGTTATTTGCTAGAAACCCGGCATGCCCCCTGCTACATATCAGTATATCCTCTCCGGATCAGCAGCCGCTTATTTCGACATAAACCAAAAAGGAGAGGTGGTTCTCAACAGCAAAGACATTAGGCAAGCAAAGCAAGCTCAGTTGAACTTAACGGTACAGAAGATAGACGAAACCGCAATCATATCATACGTTGAATTACAGGTGATGGCAAAAGAAACGGACACTACCCCGGTTCGCACCAGCAGACCAGAATCGTTGAGCATCAATGTCTTGAAAGCCGTGGATCATTCGTTGGAATTTTCAAGCCCAACCTACAACATTATCGCACAGCCGTTTGTTCCACAGCAGCAGCTTATCCAGGTACTGAATACGCAAGATTATTAATAGATAATTCATACATACATCAGACATACACAGTAGAAGGCTTAACATAACAATTAAAAAACGTGTAATATCAATACGCTGTTTCTGTTGAGTTTACACAGAATTTATACCGTACTGCCATACAGTAGCATATGCACAGTACTACTACTGGGCATCGTTTCCTATAGTGTCATATATAAAAGTACCCAATGTTCTAAATATATAGTATGGTAAAATGTATACCTTATTCTAAAGTTAGAATAGTTCTTTAATGCGTTGATAATCATGCTGCCAAAATAGCGTTGGATACGGCTTATTATGCACAGCGCAAAAAGTACCAGAAGGTTTTTCTGATCGTTCTAGAGTTTCGTAAGCAGAAAACTTCTGCAAAAACATGCATTAGAAAGTATGACGCAACGTCGCATAAAAATATTATACGACACTGATACACCGCAGTTGCCAATGAGAAGAGGGGCAGTGGCATATGCCACACAAACCGGTTTTGTAGGATTGAAGTACTTGTTAGCGTACTTTGGCGTATTAAATTATGCTTGATTTACAATCCCAGGAAGATGAGATGGCCCTCAATACAGTAGCTGTATATATTGATGTGTGATTGTTGTATAAAATTATGTACAACAATACAAGAATATGCTATATTAATAGTTGCGCATAAGTTACTTTTGCATGTGAGCATTATGTTAAACACGTTGTTCCTGACGGCTGATTTTCAGGTTGCACCAAATTTCTCTTCTTCTGAACGTATCAGTTACAAAATATCTACCGCCTCAGCAACCGCAGCAAATCT